AATTCCTATTTTCTGATGCTGACAAAACCTTCCTTTCCTAGAAAAGACCTAAAAGTCAAGACTTTCACTGGGAGAGTCAGCAGTGAATTAACATCAAAACAAAAGCCATCCACTTCGCACAGCACAGGGCTGGTCTTCCTCGGTTACCTCAAGCCCTGTCTCCTACACAGTGTCATCCTTGATTCAAACATTTGAGCTCGCAGAACATATATTATTGATAATGCTCACTTGATCCCTGGCATGTGCTCGGTATTCTATACACGCCCTACCTCCCAACTAAAACATATGCCCTTCAAAGAGCAGCAGCTACGGAGTATGAAAGAAATCCTTGCTTAACGTACTTAAAATATCTTGGGGAAATGTGGAAAGGAGTTGGATAATCGTGTTGTATCTTTAGAAGAGAAACCCTTGGGCATGGGAGTTTTCTAGAGAGCTCACCATCGCCCCACCACACACAGAGTCTTATACCATTCAGGCTGGTCCCAAACTAATTCTCCTGCCTCCCCTTTCTGAGTGCTGGGATTACAGGCATGAATCACCAACGTTTATGTGATAACTGGGAATCAACCAAGCCAGCACTCAAACTGAGCTAAGTCCCCAGTTCTAATATCTTAAACTCCCTGAAACTTTAAAATCCGTCTAAATTATCTTTACTTCCCTGACTTGTTAATCAAGCATCATAAGCAAGCTTTCTGCATCTCTTGATACTATGGGGAACTTAACTTTGTCTGGTTGAGGACAGTCAACCACTAAGCCTGTTGGTTGTGGAACTGTGTCAGATACCTCAACTGTGATCCTGACACCAAGTGGGGCGGGGTGTTTTCCCCTCTAGCTAATTTTTAGCAGCAATTAACACTTTCCCTCTTCTACTCTCCATACTCCAGGATAAAAAAAAAATAAAGCTCTGTAGTCCTGGTCTATTTCTAGCAATGATACGATACAAAGTTACTGTTTTTCCAAACTGCAGCTCTCTGCCTAGTTTTTCTATTGTGGAATTTTTTCTTTGTAACTAGTCTGCGCTGACCTCATCGCCCTGTCTAAACTCTAGAAGAGACCCAGGAGTAGCTAAAGGCTGACTCCCGGGGCCGAGCTGCCTGGAATCAGACCCTGGTTTGTCACTTAAGAGTTGAAATCCCTAATAACAGATAAGTTGATCTAACTAACCCTCAATTTCTTCATCTGCCTCACAAGAATATCTCACCTAATGCATGGGCAAGAACTACGCTTAGAACACAGCCTGCATCTAGTATTAAGCAGATGACTAAAGCACTATCAGTTTCAAGTCCATCACTAGCTCTCTCCCCGGTAAAAGCGCTTCGGCCTTTCTCACCACTTATAGATTGTGGTTGTTCTGCTGACAGGGGTGCGGGGGAGTTCTCCAGGGTGGAAGGAGGTGTAGACACTAGAAAAGAACGACAGCACTCTTTCCATCTATCTATCCATACATCCATTACTCAGGAAGAGGGCAAGCAGCAGGGAGTGCCCGGTGTAGTCACCACCCTTAGACTAATGACAGGATGCTGGGCAGGGGGAGGAGATGGGGATATTTACTTAATTCGCATTAGAAGAACCTAGGGAATATATATAACTACAATTTTCAAATATTTTCAGGGCAGGGCTGAAACAGGCAATACTTCAAAAGTCTCTGTACGAACTAGGGACAACCTCCTCTTCACTAAAAGTGCTTATGTAAGGCATTAGTGGCCAGGTGTTAAGGGTGTCGCAAGAAATGATTTTTTAAAATTTAGAGTCAGATAATTTAAGATTCTTTCTACCTCTAAAATCTTGGTAATCCTGGCATGAGTCACCAAGATGTTACAGCTTAGTATGAGTCACACATCGCCAACGCGCCGCCTAAGACAAAATTCTTCACTTGGTGTTTGGCACAGTACCACAGCCGTAGGTGAGGAATTCTAGCCCTCGGGTTATATATACCTCAGCTCAGAAAAGCAAAACTTTTCTAATTAAGCACATCGCTTAGCTGATTCTAGACTTCTTTTATAACCCACAAATACAATAATGCACTAATCCTAACTGAGACCTGGCAAAAAGCTGTGCAGCGGGATTAAGCCTCATGCACTACTTCCCGTCACTCTGCAGAGTACAGGCAGACAGAGGTGGGCAGGCAAGTGACAGGGAAGGACGGGACAGGTGGCCAGGGTGGGTGGGAGTTGGGCGAGGCCACACACGGCCAAAGGAACTGGACAAAGGCCTTGGAGAACACGCCAGAGTGGGAGGCAAACTGGAGAACCCTAGTCTGCTTCCCGCGCCCGGGTCTGGCCTGGGATGCGGACAGCGGCGGTGGCGGACTGCGCAGCTGCAGCCGCCGCGGCTCTGAGAGCCAGGGGACCCCGAAGGGGTCATCCTACCATCCCGCGGCTGCGCCTCACTCGGCAGAAACCGCAGCGCCAGGCGAGTCCGGCCGCCTAGGCCGGACAACACACCTGCTGGGCTCAGACACCTCACCGCGCGCCAGGAGTGGTCGCCC